ATGGTTTGGGGTGCCATGTCATCTGCTGGTGTTGGTCCATTGTGTTTTCTGAGGTCCAGGGTCAACGCAGCCACATACCAGGAAGTTTTAGAGCACTTCATGCTTCCTGCAGCTGACCAACTTTTTGGAGATGCAGATTTCATTTTCCAACAGGACTTGGCACCTGCACACAGTGCCAAAGCTACCAGTACCTGGTTGAAGGACCATGGTATCCCTGTTCTTAATTGGCCAGCAAACTCTCCTGACCTTAACCCCATAGAAAATCTATGGGGTATTGTGAAGAAGAAGATGCAATACACCAGACCCAACAATTCAGAAGAGCTAAAAGCCACTATTAGAGCAACCTGGGCTATCATAACACCTGAGCAGTGCCACAGACTGATCGACTCCATGCCACGCCGCATTGCTGCAGTAATACAGGCCAAAGGAGGCCCAACTAAATACTGAGTGCTGTACATGCTCATACTTTTCATGTTCATACTTTTCAGTTGGCCAACATTTCTATAAATCCTTTGTTTTTATTGGTCTTCAGTAATATTCTAATTTTCTGATATGATGAATTTGAGATTTTCATTTGTTGTCATTTGTAATCATCAAAATTAAACAAAATAAACATCTGAAATATATGAGTTTGTATGTAATGTATGAATATAATATACAAGTTTCACTTTTTAAATGGAATTACTGAAATCAATCTACTTTTTCATGATATTCTAATTTTATGACCAGCACCTGTAATTGTCACCCTCTTGCTCCCAGCACCACTGTATTCTGTTAACTTGTTATCATTTGAAATCTGTCCATCTGAGCCTCCATGTGCATGTGTGTCTATGTATGTGTGAGTATGTGTTTGGGGGGGGGGGGGGGGGGGGGGGGGTGGGGGGGGGGTTCTTCTTGGACATCCTATTCTGGATGCTGCCCATTTCCTCATTTATTTAACAATAAACATGCAGTTCAATGGAGCCAGCATGCACTTTCTGCTCTTTAATGTAACAGATGGTTGTCATGTTTTGTTTTAGCCTGCCAGAGAATACATGATACAAAAAGATTATCTGGCTCCTGTTTGGTTTATTTATTTATTTGTTTTTTTAATCAATTCATTCTCTAAAATGAGATAAAATAGCAAAATAGAATAATGGTTAAATGAATGATTCAAGAACATTGGGGTGAAGGTCCACATGTTGACATATAGGCAACTTGTCTGATAATTTTTAAATTCTATTAAAACGTCTATTAATATTATTTCAAATAGTTGATCATATTTTTTTCAACACTAGATTAAGGTGGATGGCCATAGATGGAGACACCAACATAAATCCATAAATTTAAAATTGATGATGTGGATTTTTTTCTGCTTTCTTATTTTCCCTCTTAAATGTGCAACGCAAAAAAAATTGTCATTCCAATTTATTTATTTATTTTTTTAAATCGTGGTATCCTGGATGAATAATTGACGATAAGCGGCAAAAACTGTAAATATTAAATCAGTGAGAAAAGGCTCCACCTGGTTCCTATCTGAAAAAATACATAAATTAACGCGCACTGCGTTGTTTTAATTTGGAGTTAGCCAATTCATGGAGGAACACTTATTTATGTTTTTTTTTTTTTTTTTTTCCTGCTATGCCTTCAGCTCCAATCGCCAGTTTGACTGATCGGGTTTTTCCTGCACACCTTTATCAGGCCTCCTTGCATATTTGCATAAACCTCTGCAGACAGAGAGGAAACCTGGAAGCATTCAACGTGCGCGCATGCATTGGTGACTTTTAATTTCGTCTGATGCCTCTTTTTTACTACAATAAAAATTAGATGCATTTCAATTTTAGATCAATTATGTTTTTAGGAGAAATACAAAAAAAATCTGATTTTATTTAACCTCCATCAGAGCCTCCATACAGAGGAGGCCATTGGCTCATGCCTTCTCTTTCCTGTTTGCTGCTCTCTCTTCATGTTTTAATGCATATAAGGGAATATTTAAATATCTTGTGTTTTAATTGACGCTCGAAGAGGAGCTGTGCGCTCCAAAACGAGGACCACCCGCCCCCTCCTCACCCCACCCCGCCCCCCATCCACCGGCAGCGTCTCCTCTGCCTGTCTGTCTCCTCTGCTCTGCGCGCACAGTCCGCAGCTCCTCCGCCTGCGCGCCGCACAGGGGATCCCACAGCCTCAGGTAAGACCCTTTCTGCAACTCTTCAGTCTCGGGGCGATAGTAACATAGTAACACAAAGAGGGGCGCAAAAAAAAAAAAAAAAAAAAAACTGGAGCAAATGGAGGAAAGTGGGTAGAGAAATGCGCGTCACGAATGAGGATGTATCGATGGCACGGTTTATATTCAGCAGGATGAACGGGGATGTGATGGAAGGTAACTCCATGGATTGATTGATTTTTTTCTTCCTTCCTCGCCTGGCGATGTTGCAAACAAATCTGTGCACCTCTGATTTGTTTATTAATTAAACTCTGGATTTTCCACCTAACTTTTAAATAATAAATTATGCGTTAAAACATCAAAATCCAGCCGTCCTTAAATTCATCCTGTAACTTTTACAGTTAAAGTTTATTCTTGCTCATCATATGCAAATAGATAAAAAAGAAAAAATATATTTGTTTTTCTTCTAGATATTAGCAAATAAGTGTGCAAAAAATAATTGTTTCAACGCTTTCATGTCAAAGTTACATTATATATATATATATATATATATATATATATATATATATATATATATATATATATATATATATATATGTATATATATATATATATATATATGTGTAAAATATTTAGTCTTGAAGAATTGTTATGCAGGTTTTAATAAGGTGAGTGTGTTTTAAATAATTATTTTAAACGTTGTGAAAGCAATACAAGGTGAAATTAAAATAAACGGTATAAAGCTTCAAGGAAAAATTATTAAAAACAAAAATAAACGACAGCAACTAAGAGATGATTCCCCCATCCATTGGTGACACACCAGTTAAACCATTTACCAGGCAAATGAAATGTTACCGCTGGAGGCAACGGGTCACAACTAACCAGACAAAAAAAAAGAAAAAAACATAATCCAGTGCATGTTAGAATAAAAAAAACATTAAAAAAAAGAAAAAAAATACAGAAATGCCTAAATTCATTTAAAAAAAATTTTTTTAGAGGTAAATAAAATCCCAAACCAAGCAGCAGTGTGAATGTTTTTCACACAGAGATTTTTGCTCTTTTTTCCCCTTCCTCTCGGGGTGTCTTTGTCCTGGTGAAATGCGATCCGTTTTGTCCATTCTCAGCGCTTTGCGGCTGCTGCTGAGACCCTGACAGAGAGCAAATGAACGCCGCTGCTCTGAGAACAGCTGCAGCTCCATGCAGCCCGTCCAGCCAGGTTCAGGCTTCAGCTTACAGCGCTGCTATCAAGGGGCCTCCAATTAAAGCCAACACAACCTCACAGTGTGTGTGTGTGTGTGTGTGTGTGTGTGTGTGTGTGTGTGTGTGTGTGTGTGTGTGTGTGTGTGTAAGAGTGTGTGTGTGGTGGAGGGGAGGGGGAGTGGATAGAGAAAACAGGGGGATGCTGAGGTTCATATATTCCATGTCTTGATATGAAGCATCCACACCTGCAGACCCTCCTGGACATGCGTAAAACTACTGCCATTTTATTAATAGATTTGATTGATTAAAAATCGATTTGCTATACTAAAGGTTAGGGTTGCAAACCTTTTACTTAAAGCTGGGTTGCAGGAACAATGGTGCAAGGCCAAAGGCTATTGAGAAAACAGAATTTCATATTTTGTTTTCACTGAAAAAAAAAAAAAAAAAATCAGTGGGGTGTCTTCTGCACTCCATGTCCAACCATTATATCTTTAATTATTGTTCTTTTTTTTGTATATTTTGGCCGGAAAAGTCCTGAACTGATGCTGCACTTTTAATGATATTTTACTACGAATGCAATAAAAAATGACGTGAAGCATGCATACTAATCTCAAAGTTAACGTCTACCAAATTATTAATCAAAGGCACCAAGAAAATGTTTCAATCTCTCTTAACTATCCTCCTAAATTCGCCCCTGTCGTGAATCTGGATCATTTTCAACCCATTCTGGCCTTTCAACTGAAATCATTCCATTTTGAACCTTCTTATTTTTATATAAAACAGATTTCACACCTTTTATAATTGAGACTGCTCTTTATCATATTGCTCCACTGTGACTCGTATGAAATGTAATATTTAATGAAATTCCATGGAACCTGTGCAGAAAATAGAACCAAAAAAAATATGTACTCTTTCCATTCCTGCAGGGAAGAAATGTTTTTACCTCATTCTGGATTTAAAACATACTGATAAAACCTTAATTTGTACTATAAACAAAAACAGATTTCCGCGTTTAATGGCAGAGAAAGTGAAATTTGGTTTGCATGATGTTTACAGGTATATGCACGCGTTAATGTTTACAGTATAGACACTTTGTGGAGAGATAAAATGTTATCTACCTAAAGAAAAGCATGAAATAGAAACTGAGAACTGACTTTGCTCAGTTAGTCTTTATTCCATTGCAGAAAATGCACGATATGCTTTTTATTCAAAGACAAAATCCTCATTATGCGCACTATTTTAATCCTATTCTTTCAAGGTTGTTTAATGCGATCTGTCCCCGCCTTGTAGGCTGTCACTGATCACTGCCCCGCCCCAGCTGTTCAGCAGGAACCCACAGAAAGATTTAATCATTTTTCAGGGAATAAAAATGTTTGGTTTAAGCCTAATAACATTGTTATTGTAAAAGGAAATAGCCCCTAATAATAGGATATTCGCTGGTTTATTTAACATTTAAAAAAATGTTTTCCCTAATTCCAGAATAAAAATATTTGCATGAATAACAGGCATTTAATAATATAATATTTTACAGTAACTATATTTTGTTTAGTTGATTTCAGTGGAGCGTTTTGCAAAAAGGGGAGTAAATGCAATGAAAAGGTGAGGGTAAACTGGTGTTTTTTTGATGAAATAGTGACAGCTCTTTGTTGGTGAATAGAAAATGAGTGGTGATGCTGGAAGAGGGAGAGAGAGAGAAAGGAGGAGAGGGAGAAAGGAGGAGAGGGAGAGAGGGAGAAGGACTCCTCCTACCAAATTATTCAGACTGGGCCGGCTCTGCTCTGCGCGCTTCACAAATACAACCCGGTTCTCCAATCCAGGCAGTCCCAACCTGACCTCCAAGCACCGAGGAACCCCCCTCCCTCCCTGCTGCACGAAAAGAAGCAAACCAAAAACTTTGTGACATTATTTTTTTTGGCAAATGATCACACTGTAGCCCCCTCCTCTTCCTCTGGTCCCTCTCCAGCACATCTTCCGCACCGTTTTGTCGCATCATTTGGACTATATACTTTTTTTCCTCTTTTACTGGATGAGAGACATTCACGGGAAGCAGGAATTCTGCGCCTCAACTCCTGACCAATGCTGTAGTTTTGATTCTGCTTTCAACCGAGGAGGTGATTTGAATCACCAGGGTTTGTTTTTTTTGTTTTTTCTTTTTTATCCTGTTTTGTGTTGTGCATAGAGCCCCCTCGGATGCGCTGAGAAACACAAAAAGAGAGAAAGAGGATAAGAGGGCGCAGCGCAGAGGTGCAGTATATGGAAGTTGTGAGCTGCAAAACAGAGGCGAGCAGTTGCACGTTGTGTCCTGGACCCGGAGCCATGCTTTTCCACGGGATCTCCGGGGATCACATCCAAGGAATCATGGAGGAAATGGAGAGGAGGACGAAGACGGAGTCACGCCTGGCCAAGGGTATGCAGCTCAACGGCAGGGAGTCGGTAAGAAACACAGAGATTCAGGCCGGGCTCTTATTTCCCATTTTAGGATAAGTGAAATTAAACCCATTGTTTCTCAGTTAAGCAGACCTGACATGTAAGATTTATATGTATGTAGTCCTTTTCCCCCAAAATGGAGAGGTAGCCTACTATGATAATACTATTTAAATAAATTTATTTTGACATGCAGTTTAACGGTCTAGTTGGGGAAAAAAAAATTTAAAAATCCTTACATTTTTTTGGAGAGTGCAATACGATTAAAAAAACAAAAACAAAAAAACTATATATTAATTATATATCTAAATAATTAAACATAACATTATTTTTAACATTGCTAGTATATGCAACTTAAACATTGACAGAATAAATAAAACTACACTAATTTAAATTAGTGTAAATGCAATTAACTGTATTCTGATAATTGGCATCTTAAAAAAAATATATATATATACACACACACACACACACACACACACACACACACACACACATATATATATATATATATATATATATATATATATATATATATATATATATATATATATATATATATATATATATATATATATATATATATATATATATATATATATATATATATATATATATATATATATATATATATATATATATATGTATGTTTATGGAGTATGGTTGTGTTGTATTTTTCTCCCGTTCATACCTTCGTTCTCCTGCCAGACCATGACCTCCATGAGCCCGGAGAAACCTGCTCTGTGCGCCGGCTGTGGTGGCAAGATCTCGGACAGATACTACCTCCTGGCCGTGGACAAACAGTGGCACTTGCGATGCCTCAAATGCTGTGAATGTAAGCTGGCGCTGGAGTCGGAGCTGACATGCTTTGCCAAGGATGGGAGTATTTATTGCAAAGAGGATTACTACAGGTAAGAAGAAGTCGGATAAATATCGGTGCGTAAATGTTAAACCAGGGCATAGGCTGCATTAGCTCTGATGGACTAGATACTTTGATGTGTAATTTTTGCAAACAAACATCATAGCTATACTGATGCAAAAAAAAAAAAAAAAACTGAGTTTATTCCAAATTGGCTCAGACAGGAATGCTCTGACTGTATAATGTTAACCACATGGAGATGAATGTATGAGTCATCCTCTCTTTTTCCTTGCGCCTTTTCACTAGTTTGGAGCTTTTTACGCCGTCGTTTTATTTTAAACAACTCATTTGTGGCTCTTGTCTGGGCACTGTACAGCTTTTCCCACATTTTCACATTGAACTAAAATAAAAATTGAAGATATATATATATATATATATATATATATATATATATATATATATATATATATATATATATATATATATATATATATATATATATATTTATCCATCTTAAAAATAAAATATAAACATTTAAATACAGTAATTTTCGGTCAGTTTTGTCCTAATTCGTTATTAGATATAATTCTAATACAATTATAAATATTATTGTTATTTTTTTTTAACGGCTATTTAAAAGAATAAAATTAAAACCCACATCCAGATGTGGCTATTAGTGACATCAGAGTGCGGGCCTGATGCTCCATACATCATATCTGACTCAAACACGCACCTATCATCTGAACACTTCAAATGTTGCTCAGTTTTAGCTTAATATTCAGTCAATTACGTCAAATGCATAAAAATATACATTTTTGACGCTGCGTCTGTTCCAGAAGGTTCTCCGTACAGAGGTGCGCACGCTGCCACCTCGGGATATCCGCCTCGGAGATGGTGATGCGAGCGCGCGACTCCGTGTACCACCTGAGCTGCTTCACCTGCACCACGTGCAACAAGACCCTGACCACCGGCGACCACTTCGGCATGAAGGACAGCCTGGTCTACTGCAGGCTGCACTTCGAGACGCTGGTGCAGGGCCCGGACTACCATCCGCAGCTCAACTTCGCCGAGCTGGCGGCCAAGGGCGGCGGCCTCGCCCTGCCCTACTTCAACGGCACCGGGACGACTCAGAAAGGGAGGCCTCGCAAGAGGAAGAGCCCAGCCATGGGGATAGACATACCCAGCTACAACACAGGTGAGCTGGATAAGGTTGGGTGGGACCTCACTCTGCTTTACGCATTGCTTTTTCACTATTTTTTATATTCTTAATTAATTATTTGACCTTAAAAAAGTGGACTAGTCCAGCTGCTGCAAAGAAAACTAAGACGAATCACCACCGTATAATTTCTTTAAAACAATAATTGCTGTTTTGGCCTACATTTTAACACAAAGGTTAACTTTAAAGCTTTTCCAGCTATTTGTCAAACAAAATGCTCTCTTTGGGGACGCTTGTTTTGTTTTCCCATTTCCAGCAAACCTCCAGTGAGAATCAGAATAAATAAGCAACATTCAAAATTATTGATGAAATCTTTTTGCCCATTTTCTTTTCTCCATTCATTAAAATAAGGATCAATATTGTTTATACGCATAAAACCCTTTGTTCTGTAATCTGATTGATTTTCTCTTATTCCCCTCCAATGCCCCCTGTCTCACATTTTTAGAAGTAATATAATAGTAAAGGCTTTTATATTAAACAGTGTCTGGGGCTATACAGAGGATCCTTTTACGCACCTTTTTACGCAAAGTAATCGAAAGTTGACCTGTATGTCAACCTGCGTATCGACTTCTGTAATCTTGAGGAAATAAAAAAATTTTGACTTTACAGAATAAATGACTGTGGGGGGGAAGCTGTTACTTTTTTGTTTCACTAATAAACTGTATCCTCGATAAATTAACGCCTTTCGCCTGAAATCTTTTCTTTGGTTTGAATGTTGCGACCCCGATGGCCCCAACCTTTCCCGCAGCGTCCTCATTTTGTTGTCGCTTTCTGCGAATTAGTGCGCGGTTGAGAAAGTTTGTCATTGTTCGCCGAGTTTCCCCTGCTCCCCACTGAATAGAAACAGGGGGAGGAATAGGGGTAATCTGCGCGTTAATTGTTCCTTGTTAATTGAAGGTGACGTTGGAATCTCTGGCCTCTTGTGTGGCGGTCAGTGCAGCTCCGCGCACAGGGGCCTGCAGCAGGGGAGAGACGCAGCACTGTACAGTCCGACCTGCGCTCCAAAGAAAGACCTTTATTTTCTGCAAAGGATTATGCAAATCCTTAAGTTCCCACTGTTGCAATTGTAGGAAGTAGGATAACCACTGTGACATGTTTAGCTTTAAAATGAAGTCACAACAGGTAAAACCAAAACAAAAACCCTGCGACTAAACCCAATGATGTCCCTGTAAACTAATTAAGCTCCAGACTCCATAAAGGCCGCAGTGGGAATATTATAACTCTCATCTGGGACCCTTAAATAAATTATAATATATATATATATATATATATATATATATATATATATATATATATATATATATATATATATATATATATATATATATATATATATATATATATATATATATATAAGAAAAAGTAACAAATATAGATAAAATTAAGATAAGATAGATAACATTAAGCCCCTCAGTTCTAATCTGTAACAATGCATTTGAGTTGATGTCATTATTATGCCATTATTAGGCAGCACAGACACTAAAAAGGTCCCATTGGGAATATTTAATTTCTTTTGGGACACATTGAATAGCTATAATTGATTAAACTGGTTTAGTTAAAAAAAAAAAGTTTCCTGCTCTGCTAAGATGGTTCAATTATTTTATTAATTAAATTGGTCCTAATATATATTTTGGGTAAAACTTTTTGCAACAATAGAAATGTTTACACCCCCCCTCCCCCTTTCTTTTTTTCCATTTTGAGCAGACTGGGTGTGCATGCCCCATTACTGTCTCACACTGCTCCTGTTAATAATCCAACATGTCAAATTCAAATACTCCCATTCCTGACAAATTGGAAGAGGTTTCTTTTGAGGTTTTTGTTTGTGCTTCAGTAAGAACATCCATGCATGTTTTCACCAGGGGAAAGGTGTGGGTCCTCTGTGTATTTCACACTGCTCAGTGAACACATATGCATATGGAGACCCCTAGTGGGTGATGCTTAGAGAAACACCGTCCAGTGAGAGCTGCAGCAGAGAAACATTCAGTGATGCTTTCATGAAGCATTTAGATAAAAATGACATTTTTCTGCATAAATCCATCGTGAAAAGGGTAGTTTAAAAAAACAAAAAACTGATGTCATAGCATTATGCAAAATCTTTCTCAGGTTTATCAGATTTAAAATCCTGAACACATTGATACATTTGATCTTCACTCCTTTTTCCGCAGAGGTACATCAAATGCATTCCATCCCAGATACAAATATGAGTCCATTTCTAAAAAAAAAAAAAAAAAAAAAATACAAGACAGTCTTCTATTTTTTTCGAGGTAAAATTAGTTTGCCAGGTCAGAAAGTTAATGAAACCCTTTAGTAAGTTTATGAAATGGTCCAGGATGATTCTTCCTGTCCTGCTGATAAATGCTGAAGCATCTGTGGAGCGTTTAGCCAAGCATGGGCACCGTTTAATGAATCCATTTCAGGGATTTTATCTGACAAATGAGCCCCATTAGGCCTGTTAGTCCCTGCAAACACAAGCAGAAAGCATTTAGCCTGGTGTCACTTTTACTGTAAGAATTTATCATCTGTTGTTGTTTTGCTGATTTTTAGTTAATTTTATATATTCATTCCTTTTGCATATTTTTTTATCCAGTTTTAAGTGTAATTAAAAATAAACTTTTTATACAGTATTATCCTGAGATATTTAATCAATCAGTTCTGCAGAGAAAACAAATTTAATTAAGCTTTTTACTTTAATACTTAAAAACATTTGCTTTCATTGTGATTTGGATTTAAATAGTTTTATGTTTCCCTATCCATCAGTCTTAAAATGTTTTGCATCAGCTGTTTGCAAATAAAGTTATTGAGCTGGTTAAATTGACTCTATTTTTAATCTTTTAATGTATTTTTAGTAGTGAAATATGGTGGAAACTTTGGATTCACCCAGTTACCTTTTGCATACTTTAAAACACAAATATTTAGTTGCATTAAAAATATGTCTTTGACTGTTTTTGACAGGAATTGAATATTTATTTGAACTTTCAGTCTGCAAAATTCCAGTCTAGAACATCAGCTTTTTGTGACTCAGCATTTTCCTTTTCTAACACCTGCTTCCTGTGCAGGCTGCAACGAGAATGACACCGACCATTTGGACCGGGACCAACAGGCCTACGCTCCAACACAGAAAACCAAACGCATGCGGACCTCCTTTAAGCACCATCAGCTTCGGACAATGAAATCCTACTTTGCCATCAACCACAATCCGGACGCCAAGGACTTAAAGCAGCTGGCCCAGAAAACAGGCCTCACTAAGAGAGTTCTGCAGGTAAGCTAGCAGCCGTTCTTCTTTTCTAAAGTTTTCATCCATCACACTGATTGTTTGCATCCCTCCTCTCCTCCATCTTCCTTTGATTCACATCCTCAGTTTCATCTTTTTTAGTTTTGCTTTTTTTTTGTCAGTCCATGAAGTCATTAGATGTATATCCAGGGGCCTTTACTTAAAATTTGTTAACTGTTAAAAGCATTTTTTTGAATTGGAAAGCAATTATAACGTGTGCAACTAAAGCTAAAAACTGTTCTATTACCAATAATGAAAGTAATATTGTCTTCATAGCTACAGCTCTCGCTTTAAAAATATCCAGGGATAGGATTTTGCTTTGATTTGCTATTAAAATCACATAACAGTTTAAAATAATGTATGAAAGAGGAGGGAAACTGCAGTAAAAGCTGTCATAATTTGAAATGTAATTATTTGGTACTTTCTTTAAAAAAAAAAAAGAAACATTATACTTAAGCACAAAAAGTAAAAGCCACACTGGAATTGGTTTGCAGGTTTGGTTCCAAAACGCAAGAGCCAAATTCAGAAGGAACGTTTTGCGACAGGAGAATGGAGGTGTTGATAAGGCTGATGGCACCTCACTCCCTCCGCCCTCATCCGACAGTGGGGCCCTCACCCCCCCCTCCAGCGCGGCCACACTTACAGACCTGACAAACCCCTCTATCACTGTAGTGACCTCCGTCACCTCTAGTTTGGACAGCCATGATTCGGGGAGCCCTTCGCAAACTACCTTGACAAACCTTTTCTAACAAGCTATCTCTATCAGACTGATTGTTATTTGAACTGAGTTTTTTTGTTTGTTTTGTTATTTTTTTTGCTTTTGCTCTTTTTTGGGACTTTCTTTAAGTTTTTTTTTCTCCAAGTTACATTATTTTTGTAAATGACACCTTTAAAATGAAGCAGAGACAGCTCCTCGGAAGAGACAATGCTGTACTGTGCACACAAACAGGAACTACAACGGCAACAAGAGCAGCGACCACTTAGGAAATTACTCTAATGTGTAGCATTCCAAGCTGCAAAGATTGACTTCTGGATACTTGGACTAATTTGGAGTTTTAAAGACATTGGAAAATTGTCTTGGATTGCAGATTTTTTTTATTTAGAAGGAAAGAAAACTTGAAACTTGGCTGGAAATTTAGACTTTGCCTGATTAGACTTAATTCATGTATTTGTGGTAAAATATGTTTGAAACAAGCCCTCCCTAATTTATGTTTAATTGGTAAAATAAAAAAAGTAGTGCCAGAAGTATGTATATGTATGCACTGTGTTCGCACTATCCAGATTTTTTACCTTTTTCGTTTTTCTTTTTATTGGTACTGCGTTGGAATAATTTGGAAAACCTGTCGAATGTTCTGTATATGGTTAACTCCGGAAAACAGGCTTTAATTAATACCGAATGTTTTCAGTCTGGAAGGCTGACTTTGATGGAATCAGACGTCTACAACCTGACAGAAGCTACATGTAAACGCATCTAAATTTACACTGTAAAGCACCTAGATGGCCGACAGAGAAGCTAAAACGACACCAAGGCGTTTTTTTCCTCATGAATCCAGAAGCAAATCCCACACTCTGCGCAGTGGTAACTGTTCAACGCACCCATTGGTAGAAACTGTCGATTAAAAAGCGCAACATAAGAAATTCCAATCAGTTCTAATCACTCGTCTTCATGACAGAGCACTTTTTGCTTTTGGAACTTGTGGTTCTCCTTACCTAATAGAAAAAAAAAGCCTGGCAAACATATCCACAAACCCACAGCTAAACTCAGTTGCACAGTGACAAAATACTGCCCAGAGAAAAGTGCATTATTGTCCTTATCATGTTGCTCAGGGTAATGACGTGATTTTAAATGTAAAAAAAAAAAAAAAAAAAAGGAAAAAAAAGTCGTGGGGCTGAGAAATTAAGTGGTTGCGAAGCTGCAGACTAGATTTTAGGAGCTGACAGAACAGTCAAAACATCTGACCTCAGATGGGTGGAGTCGCACAAAGCAGCCAGTGGGAAATCATTGTCCATGTGTTCTCCTGTTTGGCCATATTTACACTTTCTTTACTGATACTTGCCACTAAACAGACCAAAAAAATTATAATCAAAAAGAAAACAATTGGAAAAGCAAACTATTTCTTCTGGCTGATAGATGGAGCGAGCAAACCTTCAAATTTCCATTGTGAGCGCCCCAGTTTGCTGTCCTGCAGAGCAAAGCGGCGCTCCAGGTCTACTTCATTAAGTAGACGCCTAACTCAGTTCTACTATGTGCCTTAATGATATAACTTGGGAGAGAGTTTGTGAAATTCAGGATCTATGTGTTCTTTGTTAACCGACTCACATCTTTTTGGCGCCTCACTAGTTTTGTACTGTTTTGCATCTTATTTCCGAAGATCTTTTTATGGTGTATCCTGTTTTAAAAGAAAAAAAAAAGTGGATGGGAGGGCGGGGCAGCGATGTCATAGAAAGCATTTGTGCACTCTTTCAGATATAGTTGGGTAATCCAAGAACCTTATATATTGATCTTCGTGTTAATAGTTGAGTACAGTAAGTGTTCTATCAAGATTGTCCATGTTTCCCTGTTTCATGATAAAGATGGTGTATAGAAACTATTTCCCCTTAAATATTTATGGACCAAACGGTTGTTATATATCTTATTAAATTTGTGTGAATAAAAATACTTTGCTTTAAACGGGATTTATTTTTCATTTACACTTGCCATGTTTTTTTTTTGTGTGTTCCTTCCTGAATGCAAGTTTATCACATCAGAAAGTGCAAGAGAGAGCGTGAGAGAGAGCATTTAGTAATCAACAACAAGCTAAACGTCTTCATTTTTGCTTCCATTTTTAATTTCTATTTCCTAATTTATGATGTTTATGGTTTTTTAACGTAATGCCCCATGGATTTGCATCTAAACCCTGCAGTCAGAAACATTGAAATTGCTTTTTAATGCATGAACATGGCTTTAAATTTTAAATAAAAGGAATGCTGCAAAGCACATATTGATTTCTATATCGATATGCATACGTCGTATATACTCATGCATAACGTATTGGTAAATCTAAAAAAGTGAATTGAGAGTAAAATGCAGACCGCGTTAAGCCAGGTTGCTCTGTAGTTAATATATTCTTACTCTATCGTTTCTTTCAGGGAGAACAAATCTTGGGGCATTACAGCCATACATCCCGACGTTTGAAAATTCCCTAAAGTATTAAGAGAAGGGGAAAACTTTGATGGGAATTCCTCACCATTGAAGACAAAGAGAATTTTAGGATCAGATGATAGCAAATCGAGAACAAATAAAACAACCAACATAAAAAGATTGTGTCAAATACAAATGTACAACAGATCTTTTCTTTTTTTGTCTTTTAAAGAGCAAAATGTTTGACTGCATCAGCAGAGGAGACCAACGGTGTATGATATTTATGCTATCCGTGTGTAAAAGTAAAAGATTTTTTGTTTTGGAGTTGAAAATGTAACATTTTTCATGTAATATAGTTTAAAAGAAAATAACTCCCAGAAAGAAGGAGACCTAACATGGAATAATAAGACAATATGGATGTTATTGGTATAAACACACACATTCACATTTACACACAAGCACAGGCTTTTCCTATTATAAACTCCAAATATATATTCCCAAAGTACCTTTTTCTGCACACACTCACAGACACATGCTGCTGCCCTCCCCCTGCAGCCCATCCAAGATTCAGTTTGCTAAATAGAAGTTTTCTTTTGTCACAAGTGTCATTTCGTGAAACACATGGCCTCCTTGAGACTCGGCAGCAGGATGCCCATCAAATATGATGAGTGTATGAAGAGGACTGCAGAGCTGGAGCTTTGCCATCTGGCTGTGCCGAGGGAAGGAAGTATAAAAAAAAGAGAGAATGAGAGAGAGACAAATCGGATAAAGAAGAGATCCTCATTTCTGCATGCACCTCATCATCTTGTTAACATTTTCCTCGAGGTTGTGTATAATTTCCTTTGATCTGCTGTATGATTTATTGTTTGCTGCAAAAATGAAGCACATGAATTATATACCTCATGAGCAGACAGCAGATAAGCGCCATTGCTTCCAGCTTATTTGTTCTTGACATTCGGCTCATACTGTAAAGGGTGAAAAATGCATTCTTGGTTTCTCATAACTGTGGTTATTTGTGAAAGCAGAATATCTCCAGTGAAGTCTCAAAGCCTCCCTGAATATTTTTGGTTCTTACACCTGAGATTCTTCCATCACTTACACTTTTCTTTTTTAACATCACCTTTGCTTAAAGCTGTTTGAAATGTGAGTCATGCAATCGCCAAAATAATTGTTTTTGTAATAAAGATTAAAAAGCACTTCGTTTTCAGCATGATATGTGATGTAGAGTGAATGGACAGGCGCAGCTCAATAAACTAGATCAGTTTCTAGCTAAACCAAACATTTGATCCTCAGAAAACCTGAGTGTCACATGAGTCCAACAAGAAAAGTGGATTTTTTAAACTAAAACGTTAAGGGATTGCAGTAGGCAATACAATCATGGGAACAACTTTACTGTCCTGCAGTCTGTCATTAGCACCCTTCACAGAGAAGGAAACCAATAAAAGGTCTCTGATAAAGACGCCGGGTGTTGACAGACTGTGGTGTGCAAGCTTATTACTGGAAAATTGAGTAAAAGAAAAAAGGGCAAAGCATTTCAAGAGTTGTACATCGATTGAGAAAGCCTGGACTGCAGCTGCATCACCTTCAAGAGCCACCACACACAGACATGGACAGGACACTGGCGACAGCTGTCACATCCCTCCTGCTTAGCTACTGCTAAACCGAACCTGTGCCTCCAGGGTTTAGGAGAAGAACAGAACTGTTGTTAAGAGGGTTTAAGTTGTTTTTTGAGGTGAAATTAAATTGGATTTTCATGTGAAAAGGATTAAGAGTATGGAAGGAAATAAAGAGGAAACCCAAATGCTAAACGCCCAACATGTAGTTAGTTACCACAGTCAGTGAGGATAAACCTGCAGGCCTGCTGAAGCTAGGCTATTTTTTAACTCCTGCATGCCACAACACATTTGACTTTTTAATCCAAAAATCAAGAATGCATAAAACCCACTGTGCATGAAAAGCACCACAGCAAGTGGACATTTCTGTACAATAATTCCTTTTTAATGCTCTTATGTAATATTCAGTTTTCCTGAAGAACATAATCTTGCATTTCAATTAGCTTTAGCCACCATCATGGAAATAAATGGAATAATTAACTTGAAGTGTGTTACTTTTTTGTTTAAATTATGGTTCACATTTTCAAACTTCATAAAAAAAAATGTGATTTTTGCAGATATTCTTATTTAGAGGGATGCATCTGTATTAGGAAAAATGGAGGTTTGGGGTTCAAACCGCATGACACATATGCTGGGTTTGCACACCACATAAATAAGCTGTCAGAAAAAAAAGAGAAGGAAATAACAGAGGAACTGAAGCCACACCAGCAAACAGGCTGGATTCCAACAATGTGGGAAAACACTTCAGTCAGTCCGAGAGGAAAGCTCAGCCGCCGGGGTGCCTGCTCTCTGTGGCAGCAGGGCTTGTATTCCTCGGGTCTGATGGGAGTAAGGTGGGCAGGTTTGACACCACACAGCTACGGGAAGCCCAGATGGAAGCAGAAACACAAACAAACACAGCCAGCTCCTGCTTGGGGTTTTGGAGCTGCTGCATGGAAATTCTGGACAACATCAGGACTCTACGCTGGCAAGAATTTCAAGGCCCTGCTTCTCACTGGAATACATTTTATCTGCAATGCATTTTAAAAGCCTGCATTCTTGATCAACGTCTAACTTGCCAAAGGGGGTTTCTACTCTCCATTTAAGATATTCTTTAATAAAAAAAAAGATATATTTGCACATCTTTTTCGTTGTAGCTTCATTGGGTAAATAGTTACAGATGTTTGACTGCCACAAGCTGCATTATGTCTAAATCCTGCAAGAACAGCATTGTGTTGAGCAGCAACAGGTAAGGAAGGAGTCCTTCTGCTGACTGACATCCTCCTCTTCCTCTCTCATCTCTTTTCGTGTTACAGTAAATGACAGCTGTGTACTCTGACTAAAACAATGCTGACAAGGCAGCATATATTCTGTCACACACAGAGAGGGTTCATAAATCCTGGCTGATCTTGACAAATGTTGCCACTTGGACATAAATAAGTCTAAGAAGCAGGTAAGGGGGTTCAACAGACACCAAACCATGAGGAATTAGAAAAATCCTTTTTAAAGCCGAATCTTACTTTCTAGGTCAGGGGTCGGCAACCTGTGGCTCTTCAACCTTCACTGTTGACTAAAAATGACAAAGAACCAATTAATGATTAATGTATATATATATATATATATATATAAAATGTTTTTTTTCCTCTGAAGATAAAAACATATTTTCCGTGTATATAATCATGAAAAATATAACTGGCCTCTTTTTAAAAGGTCAAAGGTCATATCATTTTTAAAGCTCTCAATGAGCTTATTTATCTGGAATTGAAGCCTCCCAAAATCTGCCCTTTGGCTTGTAAAGATCGCAGCCCCCTGGAATAGTGTTGACCCCCCCATACTCATTTATTCCTTTGCATTTAATTAAAGTCCTGTTAAATGGGACTCTCCTTCAAGAAGCTGACTCATTAGTTTTAACTGTATACAATGCTTAAACAGACCTGACCTGATATGCCTGCCTATGCTGTGTAAATATACATACACATCTTTAGCCGCCACAGTTTTTTTATTTTAGTGTTTTAGTTTTAAAAGATGTGTTTCTGTTGTGATTCTCTGGTGCTTGGGTTTCTTTGTGTTGGCATTTTAAGCTTTTACTTGCTCTTTAATTGCGTTTGATATATTTTGCCATATTGTTGTTTTTATTGCTTTTTGGAGATATTAGCTTACGATTCAGTGTTTTAATCCTTCATTCATTCGTACGTTCTGTTCTTTTTGTGTAAAATATATTTCTCTGAGTTCATATTTGATCTTTGGGGAGAGTTCTCTGTGTGTCTTAGTTCAGTTTCCTCTGTTAATTAATCTCCCTCCTTCAGCTGTTCTACCTTCATTCTGTCTCAGCTGTTCCACATTTCATGTCATTGGCTCCACTGACTCTTTAGCTAGGGTGACCAAACGTCCGTATTTCCCAGGACATGTCCGTATTTCACCTCCTGTCCCGGGCGTCCCGGGTTTTTTTTAGAAAGTGAGGAAATGTCCTGTTTTTTACCTTCATTGGACCATTAAATTTACAGGCGCTAGGGCACTTCGCATGGCGCTGCGTGTGAAAAGCCACCTGGACACCGAAAGTAAAGATAGTCTATTGATATGTTTGTTCGTTTTTGGTACATTTTGAGTTATTTTTGCTACACAAGAGGTATTTTTTGTTAATTAGCTCATTTGTTAATTTATTTTTACCAATAGCCTACAGAACAGACATTATTTTGTTCATTGCTGAGGCTGGGTATCATCTGTTATTGGGAGTTGAGCGTTACTGTTAACTTTTGTTGTTAAGTGAGGGATGTTTAGATGAGACATTATTTCTTTCATTTTGCTATTCATTCATTACAGGAATTGTTAAGCATTTTTTAATAAATACATTTTGAATAAAATTATAATTTGTTATTGTATTTATTGCTGTTGACTTTTACTAAAAAGCATTTTTGATAAATCAACTGTAAACATAATGTTATTG